ATGCCTACATTGTGTGTTTCTAACACAGCGTTTCTCAACCTGGGGGTTGGGACCCTGGGGGGGGGCACAAGGGGAGTGTCAGAGGGGTCACCAAAGACCAGCAGAAAACAGAGTACTTTCAGTTGGTCATGGGGGTTCTTTTGGCCCAATTTTATCATTGGTGGAGTTCAGAATGCTCTTTGATTGTAGGTGAACTATAAATCCCAGCAATTAGAACTCACAAATGTCAATGTCTGTTTTCCCAAAAATCCACCACTGCTCACATTTGAGCATATTGAGTATTCATGCCAAATTTGATCCAGAGCCATCATTGTTTAAGTCCACAGTGCTCTCTGGATGTAGGTGAACTACAACTCCAAAACTCAAGGTCAATCCCCACCAAATCCTTCCAGTATTTTCTGTTGGTCATGGGAGTTCAATTGGTTCAATTCCATTGCTGATGGTGTTCAGAATGCTCTTTGATTGTAGGTTAACTATAAATCTTGGCAACTACAACTCCCAAATGACATAATCACCCCCCCCCTCCACCAACTTCACCTCAGTATTCAAATTTGGGCATAATGGGTATTTGTGCCAAATTTGGTTCAGGGAATGAAAATACATCCTGCATATCAGATATTTACATTACGATTCATAACAGTATCAAAATTGTAGTTATGATGTAGCAACAACAGTAATGTTATGGTTGAGGGTCACCACAACATGAGGAACTGCAGTAAGGGGTCATGACAGTAGGAAGGTTGAGAACCACTGTTCTAACAGCTCAACTAAAGTTACCATAAAGTGAGAAATATGGGCACCGAGGAGGAGAATTCTTATTTGGAGGGCAAGGCTCCAATTTTTCTCTCATCTAGTAGCTACAACCCAGCAGATAAACCTTTCCCCATGAGTCACTTATTCAAGAACTTTTATTGCTGTGTACCAAGGACATGTTGCAGTGTGGAGCTTCCCCATGTACTCAACATGATACTCCTTTCCATTCTTTACTCTTATGCAACTTTATAGTGCAGTGGTTTGAGCACTGGACCACAATTCTGAACACTAGAGTTCAAATGGCAACTTGGCCATGACACCCACTGAGTGATGTCGCGCAAGTCACAGACTCTCAGCCCCAAAGGAAAGCGAAAGCAGACCCTTTTGTGCTAAACTAGCCCATGGGATTCTGGTCCATCTAATCTTCGAGGGGAAAGGCTGACTATTATTCCCAAGAGGGACCTTTACAATACTAAAATACTACTAAGTACACGATGAAAGAGAATGCTTAGGAGGTTGGGGAATTGGGGTAGACCAGGCATGGGCAAACTTCAGCCCTCCAGGTGTTTTGGACTTCAACTCTCACAATTCCTAACAGCCGGTAGGCTGTTAGGAATTGTGGGAGTTGAAGTCCAAAACACCTGGAGGGCTGAAGTTTGCCCATGCCTGGATAGACTCAAGATTTGCAGAATGAAACTGAGCATTGCCAGAAGCCTTATAATGAAAGGAGGGCAATACTGGAGTGAAAGGGGTCTTCCTCCTCAAAAACACAAAGGGAACGAAGGAGCGGAATGGCGTATCCTAGGAAAGAGGATGGCTGGCTAACTTGAACCCCAAATTGGAGTATTCCACACTGTAACATTTTGTTTTGGGACCCGATTTGTATGTCCCTTACTATTGTCTTCTGCACATATCTACATTGCCTGACACCTCATTCAAACCACCAGTGAGTCTATTCAGCAGCGGTTACAATTTTTGGATGATCTGTTGCTTGTGTGCTTTTCGGGACAGATGAAGAAAGGAAAAAAAGGAAGAAAATGAGAGAAAAGCCAATGCAAAATCATAAAACAGTACGCTTGGAAGGCAACCAAACCAAAAGATGACATTCTTTTGGTTCCTAATGCATTTCTGACAGGAACCACAGCCCCATGAGTGGAAGACGGCAGAAAAAATGTGTATGTGTGTATATGCGTGTTTATAGCACAGTTTGAACTTTTGACTGCTTTGTGTAGAAATGAAATTCAAGAAAAATATTTATATATTGTGGATTTTTAAAAGAATCTACCAACACAAAATCCTGCACAAAGTTCAGATTCCAGCTCGTACTTTTACTGATTGATCAATTGCATATCTATGCCACCTTTTTCTCCCAGAATGATTCATACTCATTTGATTAATTCAGGTCAGAGATCATCATACATACTATAGGCACCGAAATCCCAACCTTACAACACAATCTGGAATTGGGAACAATCTGGATCCATCATTTCGGACATCATCCCATAACAATAAGATGTCTTTGTATCATCCGCCATTTGAACGAAAGAGCCCCAAAACCTGAGTAATAACCATTGAGAAAGTTCAATCACTGCCTTGATTCATTCCCAAAGATAAAAGCCATGGGTTGCTGTGAATTTTCTGGGCTGTATGGCCATGTTCCAGAAGCATTCTCACCTGATGTTTTGCCCACATCTATGGCAGGCATCCTCAGAGGTTGTGAGGTACGGTATATTGGAAACTAGACAAGTGAGGTTTATATATCTGAGGAAGGCCCAGGGTGGGAGAAAGAACTCTTGTCTGCTTGAGGCAAATGTGAATGTTGCAATTAATCACCCTGATTAGCATTGAAAAGCCTTGCAGCTTCAAAGCCTGGCTGATTCCTACCTGGAGGAATCCTTTGTTGGGAGGTGTTAGGACTCAGCCTGGATTATTTCTTTCTGGGGGAATCCTCTGTTGGGAGGTTTTAGGAATCAGCAAGGCTTTTCAATGCTAATCAAGGTGAGTAATTGCAACATTCACACTTACCTCCAACAGATGAGAGTTCTTTCTCCTACCCTGGACCTTCCACAGATATATAAAATTCACTTGTCTAGTTTCAAACAGACCTCACAATCTCTGAGGCTGTCTGCCATATATGTGGGTGAAACATCAGGAAAGAATGCTTCTGGAACATGGCTATAAAACCTGAAAAGCTCACAGCAACCCAGTGATTCAAGCCATGAAAGTCTTAGACAACAGATAAAAGCCATGATCAATGGAATGCAAGGACCGGAATTGGCCCAACTAGGTGGAAGATGCCTACTAGATGGCTGAGATTCCTCTTTGGAGGGAAAATATGTGCAGGTTCAGGAGTGTTTTGAAGGGAAGATAAGACTTGTTGGATTGTTGTGAGTTTTCCGGACTGTGTGGCCATGTTCCAGAAGCATTCTCTCCTGATGTTTTGTCTGCATCTTTGGCAGGCATCCAGAGAGGTTGTGAGATCTGTTGGAAACTAGGAAAATGGGGTTTATATATCTGTAGAATGTCCAGGGTGGGAGAAAGAACTCTTGTCTGTTTGAGGCAAGTGTGAATGTTTCAATAGTCTACCTTAATTAGCATTTAATGGCCTAGCAGTTTCAAGGTCTGGCTTCTTAGTTCAGGAGGGAATGCTTCTGGAAAATGGTCATACCACCCGGAAAACTCACAACAACCCAGTGATTCCAGTCAACAATACATAAAAGGTCTGTTGTTTGGCACCTGAAGACTATAATAAATGGCCAGAGGGGAGAGCAGACAAAAAGACCACTCCCTTCTCTCCCCCCTTCAGTTTCCTTCCTTCTCCTATTGTTCTAAATGGCAGGCTCTCCCCCTCTTTGGGCTGAACATGCAGAGGTTAAAGGGTAAGAAATAAGGGGGGAAATACCTCCACTTTAGATCAGGCTAACGATTCCGAAAACATTTTGCCTTAATTAATTAATTAATATTTATTTATTTATTTATGACATTTATATCCCGCTCTCCTCACCCCATAAGGGGACTCAGAGCGGCTTACAAGTTATATGTACACACAATGTATTACATTACTAGCATAGAACAATATTAATATTATATATGACTATATTGTACTATACTACTATACCATATCATTAGTAATATTACGTTATATATATATATAGTATTGCATTATAATATTATCAATATTATATATACATACAATGTATTATATTATGAGCACAACACAATATTAGTATTATATATTACTATATTGTACTATACTACTATGCAATACTAATATTACATGTAATGTAAAATATATAATTATTATATTTTATTATTAGCATTATATTATATTTCATTATAATATTATCAATATTATCTGTGTATGCAATATATTATATTATTAGAACAATACAATTAGTATTATATATTACTATATTGTACTATACTACTATACTGTAATATTATTAGTAATATTACATGTATCATAAAATATATAATTATATTCTGTTATTAGTAGTATTATATTGTATTACATTATATTATTATTATTATATGTGTACACAATATATTATATTATTAGAACAATACAATCAGTATTATATATTACTATATTGTACTATACTACTATACTGTAATATTATTAGTAATATTACATGTAACAAAATATATAATTATTATTCTGTATTATTAGTAGTATTATATTGTATTACATTATATTATTATTATTATATGTGTACACAATATATTATATTATTATACTACATTGTACTATACCACTATACTGTAATATTATAGTATAATATTACTATATTGTAATATTATTAGTAATATTACATGTAATATAAATATATATATAATTATTATATTGTATTATTAGTAGTATTATACTGTATTACATTATAATAATATGATTAATATGTGTACACAATATATTATATTATTAGGACAGCACAATATTAGTATTATATATTACTATATTGTACTATACTGTAATATTATTAATATTACTTGTAATATAAAATATATAATTATTATATTGTATTACATTATAATATTATTATCAATATTGTATGTGTATATAATATATTATATTATTAGCAAACACAATATTAATATTATATATTACTATATTGTAGTATATTATATGTAGTAATATTACATATACTGTTTGGTACCAGACATCAATCACCACACATCACCCCATCATGTTGGTGAGCTTGATCTTTATTTGTCTCTTGCAGGAGAAATACACAAATGCCTCTGCTTACCTTGCAATTGCTTGAACCTTCCTTCCAATTGATTGTAATTGTATGGCACCGAGGAAGTGTAACCAGGGGACAAGGATCCAGGTGTCCCAGCAGAATTTTGTATTTCCATTTAGGAGGAGGAGGAAGGTGGCCACCAAGGGCCAAATCCCTGCATGCAAACCAGCCAGCAGGAAGGAAAAGGGGGCTCCTTGGAAATGGTGAGGTTGCAAAACAAAACAAAACACAAAAATAGCAGATGATGCCCACTGGTTGCTCCAAAAAGGCAGATCCCAATTTCCTTGCAGATGGGGCAACCCCTCAAACCATTTCTTAGGATGCCTTTGAAAATAAATGATAGAAGGGTATTTTTCCTCTGCTCCTCCAAAAGCAATCCAAACTGAAACCAACGTGGTGCAATAATAGCCAAGGCGATCCTTGTGTTGCTAGGCTCAACTTCATACAACCATGCAAATAAAAAAAAAAATAGCAAAAAAGCAGCCCTGGGCTCTCTCCTTGCCTCTCTTTCTTTGCCTTCCTTCCCAGTCCTTGCTTCCAGCACCTCTCACACACCTCCAACCTTTTTGGGCTGGTTTGTAGCAGAATCAGGAGCCCCTCACTGGCTCTGCCGTGGTGACGTCACTGCTATTTGCATAAAGCATTGTGGAGGGAGCCCAGGCTGTACCAAAGGGAGCCAGGAGGGAGGGGAGGCCAAGGCAAGGAGGAGGCGCTCACCCATGCGCCCTCCGCCGCATCCCAGCTTTGCCGCCTCCAAGCGCATCCCTGACGTCCCTGCCCGGGCCCTGGGAGTGGAGACGGCCCTTTTAGGCGGTTTCCCAAAGGGAAGGCAGGCCTATGAAGGCACACACACACCCCCTTTCCAAACAGGCAGCGCCACACTGAAGAGGAGCCACAATGGGACCTTCCCAACCCCGGGCTGGTGAAATTACACTCGGTCGGCTCTTTTGTTTGAGCTTCGCGTAACGGAAAAGTCTCTGGTTACGGTTTATCGCCTGGAAAAGGAGGGCAGCTTCCTTCCTGGAGGAGGAGGAGGCAGAAGAAGAGGAGAGAAGCCAAGGAAGGAAGGGAAATGGAAAGACAGCAGCCAACTCTCCAAGGGAGAAGGGATAGTCATTGAGCCAATGGGATTTTGGCCTGCATCAATAGGAGCATAGTGTCTAGATCTAGGAAAGTCATGCTAACCCTCTATTCTGCTTTGTTTAGACCACACCTGGAATATTGTGTCCAATTCTGGGCACCACAATTCAAGAGAGATGTTGACAACCTGGAATGTGTCCAGAGGAGGGTGACTAAAATGATCAAGGGTCTGGAGAACAAGCCCTATGAGGAGCGGCTTAAGGAGCTGGGCATGTTTAGCCTGAAGAAGAGAAGGCTGAGAGGAGATATGATAGCCATGTATAAATATGTGAGAGGAAGCCACAGGGAGGAGGGAGCAAGCTTGTTTTCTTCTGCCCTGGAGATAACAATGGCTTCAAACTACAAGAAAGGAGATTCCACTGAACATTAGGAAGAACTTCCTGACTGTGAGAGCTGTTCAGCAGTGGAACTCTCTGCCCAGGAGTGTGGTGGAGGCCTTCTTTGGAAGCTTTTAAACAGAGGCTGGATGGCCATCTCAGGGGTGCTTTAAATGTAATATTCCTGCTTCTTGGCAGGGGGTTGGACTGGATGGCCCATGAGGTCTCTTCCAACTCTATGATTCTAGGGTGTAGCATCAGGCCATCAAAGAGATACAAGTTGAGCATTCCTTAGAGGAGGAGGGAAGAGGCCAAGGAAGGAAACAGGAAAGAAAGTAGCCAACTCTCCAAGGGAAAAGAGATAGTCGTTGAGGGTATAGCATCAGGCCATCAAAAGATCAAAGGAGGGCAGCTTCTTTCCTGGATGTTCATTAATGTACTCTGAGGAGGAGGAGGATGGGGGAGGGGACAAGCCAAGGAAGGAAGGAAAGGAAAAGGAAAGAAAGTAGCCAACTCTCCAAGGGAGAAGGGATAGGCATTGAAGGTGCCACATCAGGTCATCAAAGAGATACAAGTTGAGCATTCCTTAGAGGAGGAGGAGAGAGGCCAAGAAAGAAAAGAGGAAAGAAAGTAGCCAACTCTCCAAAGGAAAACAGATAGTCGTTGAGGGTATAGCATTAGGCCATCAAAGAGATCAAAGGAGGGCAGCTTCCTTCCTGGATGTTCATTAATGTACGAGGAGGAGGAGGAGGAGGAGTGGACAAGCCAGGGAAGGAAGGGAAGGAAATGGGAAGAAAGTAGCCAATTCTCCAAGGGAGAAGGGATAGGCATTGAAGGTGTAGCATCAGGCCATCAAAGAGATACAAGTTGAGCATGCCTTTGAGGAAGAGGGGAGAGGCCAAGGAAAGAAGGGAGGGAGGGGAAAGGAAAGGAAATAGCCAAGTCTCCAAGAGAGAAGGGGTATTCATTGAAAGTATAACATCAAGCCATCAAAGAGATACAAGTTGTGCATTCCTTAGAGGAGGAGGGAAGAGGCGAAGGAAGGAAGGAAGGAAGGGAAATGGAAAGAAAGTAGCCAAGTCTCCAAGGGAGAAGAGGTAGTCATTGAAGGTATAACATCAGGCCATCAAAGAGATACAAGTTGAGCATTCCTTATCCGAAAATGCTTGGATGTTTGGGATTTTAAAAAAAACCAAGCAAGGTTTATATATCTGTGGAATAATGTCCAGGGTGGGAGAAATAACTCTTTATCTACTAGAAGCAAGTGTGAATGTTGCAATTGGCCAGCTTGATTAGCATTGATTGGCCTTGCAGGTTGAAAGGCTGATTCCTGCCTGGCTGAATCCTTTGTTGGGAGGTGTTAGCTGGCCCAAAGCTTTAGGTGCTCTTACTGCCTATTACAGGGAAAATGCAGACATGTGCTTTTCACCTTAAGAAAAGACAAGCATCTCAAGCTCTGAGGATGACTTGAGAAGGAATCCCACTGGAGCATTGCAGCACACCAAAATACCTGGGCGTGACCCTGGACCATGCTCTGACTTAGAAGAAACACTGCTTGAATATCTAGCAAAAAGTGGGTGGTAGAAAGAATATCATACAATAGCTGACTGACACAACCTGAGGATCACAACCAGACAGAATAAAGACATCCACCCTTGAGCTTTGCTACTCTGCTGCCAAGTACACATGCCCAGTATGGGACACATCTCACCACGCTAAAACAGTGGGTGTGGCTCTTAATGAGACATGCCGCATTATCACAGAGTGTCTACGCCCCACACTGGAGAAATTACACTGTTTAGCTGGTATTGCTCCACCTGACATCCACCAAGAAATAGCAGCCAGCAATGAAAGGACCAAGGCATTGATATCTCCAGCCCATCCTCTGTCCGGATATCAGCCAGCATGCCAATGCCTTAAATCAAAAAACAGCTTCCTAAGATCAACAGAGATACTTGCAGGAACACCTCAGCAAGCTTAAGTAGCCATGGGGGAAAAGGAAGGGGCCTGAAGCTGTTAGGAATTGTGGGAGTTGAAGCCCAGAATATCTAGAGGGCCCAACTTTGCCTATACCTGTTATGTACATAGAATCATAGAATCATAGAATCAAAGAGTTGGAAGAGACCTCATGGGCCATCCAGTCCAACCCCCTGCCAAGAAGCAGGAATATTGCATTCAAATCACCCCTGACAGATGGCCATCCAGCCTCTGCATAAAAGCTTCCAAAGAAGGAGCCTCCACCACACTCCGGGGCAGAGAGTTCCACTGCTGAACGGCTCTCACAGTCAGGAAGTTCTTCCTCATGTTCAGATGGAATCTCCTCTCTTGTAGTTTGAAGCCATTGTTCCATTGCGTTCTAGTCTCCAAGGAAGCAGAAAACAAGCTTGCTCCCTCCTCCCTGTGGCTTCCTCTCACATATTTATACATGGCTATCATATCTCCTCTCAGCCTTCTCTTCTTCAGGCTAAACATGCCCAGCTCCTTAAGCCGCTCCTCATAGGGCTTGTTCTCCAGACCCTTGATCATTTTAGTCGCCCTCCTCTGGACACATTCCAGCTTGTCAATATCTCCCATCAATTGTGGTGCAATATTCCGGATGTGGTCTAACCAAAGCAGAATAGAGGGGTAGCATTACTTCCTTAGATCTAGACACATAGCCAGAGGGTGATTTAATTCAATATTTTAAAAATTCTGTTGGGCATGAAACTAAAGCATTTGTACACTGATCCATCTAAAGGCAAAGATGTCACTATCTCTGGTGGACAATTTCAAATTTTGGGGTAGAGTAGAATTTAAGTTAATCAGAACTCAAAAATAAAATAAATGAAGACATACTTTAATATGTGTGTGTGTGTATGTGCACGTGTGTGTACGTATATGTATATATGTGTGTGTGTGTACACACACACACACACACATATATATATATGAAGGTAAAGGTAAAGGTTTTCCCCTGACAAGAAGTCCAGTCGTGTCCGACTCTGGGATGTGGTGCTCATCTCAATTTCTAAGCTGAAGGGCCAGCATTGTCTGTAGACATCTCCAAGGTCATGTGGCTGGCATGACTGCATGGAGCCCTGTTACCTTCCCACCGGAGCAGTACCTATTGATCTACACATATTTGCATGTTTTCGAACTGCTAGGTTGGCAGGAGCTGGGACTGACAGCGGAAGCTCACATCACTCCCTGGATTCGAACTTGCGACCTTTTGGTCAACAAGCTCAGCAACTCAGCGCTTTAATCCACTGCGCCACCGAGGGCTCCCACTATAATATATAGTAGGGTAACATTAAGTCACTCAATATTGGATGCTCCTTCTTTGGAAGCTTTTAAACAGAGGCTGGATAGTCATCTGTCAAGTGTATTTTGATTGTGCTTTTCCTGCATGGCAGGGGTTGGACTATATGGCCTATGTGGTCTTTTCCAATTCTATTATTTCATGATTCTAACTTCATCATTATTTTAATTTGCTTTTTATTCCTATATTTCAGTCTTAACATCAGGTCAATACAGAATGTTATAGTGTAGTTTGGGGTATAGGATTAGTTAGGTGTATTTTAATAGTAACCCTCAAGCAACCCTCAATTAACAGGTGCCAGTTAATTGAGAGTCTCCTGTATTTGAGAATTCCGGATAAGGGATGTTCAATCTGTAATAACCCTTAGTTTTGCAAAGGGATCTTGTGAGCGTTTAAGGTGCTACTAACACATCTCTTTGCATGCTAATATTCCATGACCAAAACAGCTGCCTTTGAATCCTTAGGCATATGTGCCTTGTGGGGATAAATAGGGCTGGGGAGAGAGAAAGCCCTTCACCCAGCAATTTGGGTTGATTCACATTAATTGGGGATGCTAAATATTTTGACACTTGCAAGGAGGGGTGTGGATCTCTTTACATAATTGCTGTTCTTTCCTTCTGGCTGTTGAGCACTGTTTTTCCTCCCCTAGAGATGACACTTGAGAATATAATAGCTGTATTAGTACTTGTGTGTTTTTGAATTTAGGGCATTTCCTCTATCTACAAAGGCCTTGATACTAAACGAACAGTGGCACACTGCGCCCTTCCACAAAGCATGTGCCCGAAGGGGATTTACATAACTGACAGGCTTAATGTGCACAATGCGTGTACATT